ACAGCTTTAAATAAAATGCATAATCAGATAGCAAACCGCAGGCAGCCAGCCATAGTACTTCATGTGATTCTATGGATAGGAAAGAGCATCCAGAGGCAGTGAGTCAGCTATCAGCCCCAGCAGCACCGGGTGATTTGAATTTACTGTCAGGATTAATGCCATCCCTAGATTTCGATTTGGTATGTGGCTGTTTCGTTTGTTAGCGACTAGACTGAAAGTGTCTGTGTAGCTAGGTAGAATACTGCTGGAGTTTTCTCCATGTATCTTTTTGTGATGGAAGAACCTCAAAAAAGGAATATGTTCAACTTGGACAAAAGCTTCTTACAGCCTTGTCACATGTGAAGCTCAAAGTGAAATTCTTAATGATAACAAATGAAGAGAGGATGACACTGGAAGACATCTCAGATTTTTTTTTTTTTAGTCACTGCTTGAGGACGAATGCTTTCTCAGATGTTTCTTTCCACTTCATAAATTAGCAAACGTTTCCCCTTTTGGTCCTCTGAAGCAAAAAGGAATGACTGTCTCTCTTTGCTGTCAAATTAATTAGAATTATCCTGTTTTTAATAATTCTGCTAGATCCTGTTGTGGGTCACCTGTTAGCTGGCTCTTGTCACAGGGAGGTTTCTCGTTTCTGAAGAGCGGGGTAAGTTGTTAGGGAGGGAAGGGGAAAAAATCCCAATTACCTTAGGTTATATTTCTCTTTGGTTACAGGATATGATGGTATAAATGATGTCAGGGCAGAATGACAGGAACTCAAAAGAGGTTATCTGTAGCACAGCCAATTACTCCACAGTGGGCCAGTGAGAAAAGTATGGGTCAAACAAAAGGAGTCCATCAAAAATGCAATTATAGAACGAAACTGCCAACAGATAGGGTTGTGTCCCAACAGGGAGGTAGTTCAACAGTGCCACTAAATACACTAGTGACATTTTAACAGATGTGCTCATTCATTAGAAATGATGAATGAAAACACAATAAACAGAAAAAGCTTTGGGAATAAAAATACACTAAAGACAATTGCAGCATACAAAGTAGTGATATATATGCCAGCCATAATTTGACAGCTCCATTGTTAATATTTAATTACAGGGACCTTTTACATTCAGCGGCTGTAAAAAGTTGTACAGTATGTGGGGAAAAATAGGCTAACTGCTTATGGTGTCACTAATGTCATTAGAGTTTCTGAGCTTGGGTCTAAACATCATAGTATACAAGGATGATCTTGGTTTGCAAAAAGCAAACCAAAAAACAAAAAAAATATTCAACATTATTATTTTCACTAACTAGTACAGAACACTAGATCTGCTAGAGACAATGGCAGTGACAAAAAGACAGGAGCCATAGCTGGAGATGTTATGGTTGTCATTGGGACTGGCCAGGTTGGACACGATTAGAAATGAGTTTATCATAGAGACAGCTCAGGTTGAGTGGTTTGGAAATAAAGCTAGAGAGGCAAGGCCAAAATGGGCACGTGCAGAGGATGGTTAGTGGATTTATTGGGCAAAGGATGTTGAAGATGGAGCTGCCAGGCAGGAGAAAAAGAGGAAAATCACACAGAAGGTTTATGGATGTGGTGAAGGATGACATGCAGAGGTCAGCATGAAAGGAGAAGATGCAAATGACAGGGTGAGATGGAGGCATATGATATGCTATGGTGACCCATAAAGGTAGTAGCAAAAGACGAAAAAAGGCGGCTAGATAACTCCATATTTGGCAAGGTGTTACAGCATTAAAGTCAGTCCTAAGCATGCCAGTGAGCGCTAACGAGATAAGCTAATGATTTCACGTTGAGTTTATTTTAGATTAAGCTGTAGAACTGATGGAAAATGAAAAATGGGTGATAATTGTTTGTAAATTTGACACTATTAGCAGAGATCACCCCATTACTGCCCTGGCTGATTATCAGACCAGATATTTGTTGTTTTCAGAATCCATACTTAATCCCATTGCTGCTTAAATAACAAATGTCTCTGTTTTGCTGTAATGGATCTTTTTGAACAGTTACTGCTTGCAGGCTCATAGACGAATGGAAAGAGTAAATTATTACTGAGATTATTTTTGTTTTAAAGATCATCTGCCACATGTCTCAAGATTTGCAGTTGAATGGCTGCGATGTGCACCAGATCTCCTTCACAGTGTTAAAATTGTGATTTTATTTTGGGGAAGAGGGAACACTTGCAATGACAATCAGGGTGAGAAGGGCAGTGAATGAAGATGCTGGATGGGAAACACAATGGTGGAGGCTGCTTTCGTGAAATTCTCTCGATCAAATTCATGGCGCGCACTTCTATGTTAATGATGTGACTGAAGAAACAACCACTATTCCAAGTTTCAGTGTGGATCACTGGCCGGATTAAAAACTTTCAAAGTTTTTTTAATTGCAGTACATTTAATGTTGCACCGTTGATGTTAGAAAGTAAAAATGGCAATAAAAGCACAATCCCAGCATATATTGAGTGTGCAAAATATTGTAATAAACAGTACACTGCTGTTTTCATGTGTTATTTTACGTATCCAGCTGTTAAATAATTGCATATCTGGAAAGTTTTTCTTATGAAAATGCATTAAGTCATATTTTTTTATACATACATAAAGTCATATTTCAGACATAATTGCTTTGTGAATGTATGATGGTACTCACAATTAGTCATTTTATTCAGTAACACCACTTGAAAACTCTAATAATGTACTGTATTCATATTAAGAATTTCATATTTTTTTTATAACTCCCACACATTTGAGAAAGTTGGATTGCTGTAACAAATTTAAAAAGTTAGAATAAATCAATAAACTTGAAGTAATGTATATAACTCTGTGGTTTTCTGCTCAAGACCTGACCACCTTAATTGTGTTTTTTTTAAAAAAAAACCCTGCCACAATCTGGATGAATCGATTAAAACAATGAAAAAGCAAAACAAATGTGCATACCAGCATTTGAAACTTCCAAAAGTTAGTAACGCTTATTAAAAGTAAAAGCAGTGAATGAGTTATTTTTTTCTTACAAGCTAAAAGAGCTAGAGAGACATTCTCTCCATAATGGCCAAAAAAACCAACATAGGTAAAAAGGGTAAGTCTTTACAATATATAGATCACAAAGCGCCACTTATAGTGTCTAGGTTTTTGAAAGCTATTGGAAAAGGCAAAGAGTATCCTGCGAAAAAAAAGACACAGTTGAAAGGGGAAGCAATTTTGAATTGAAAGACAAAAACACTTTCTGCAACAATTGTGATAAATGACAATGCGTGTGTAGCGGGGGACCTCAGAGAATAAAGAAACGGGAAAGTGCCTAGGAGGAGGAAAAATAGGGCAAATGAAGTGGCAAAGACAATCTTTGCAGACTGCACGGAAAAAAGAATATCGGTCTGTGTCTTTGTGCATGTGTAGGTGTGTATGCGTGTCTATGTGTGTGTTGGAGTGGGTGGGTGTGCATACATCTGCGTATGCATATGCAGTGGGAAAGAAGGAGGGGGTGTGTTCACTTGGAGACAGCAGGGATGGCTTATTAGGAAATCATTCCTTTTAGCCAATGGTTTTTAAGAGAGAGGCAGATGTCATTTGGCTGAGAAGTACCACCTCCGAGAGCCAGCACATCCCCTTCAGTGTAACGCCGCGCAGTGTGAGAGCACCACTATCCCTGCTGTCTCCTCTCTGGCTATTTCTCCCGTTTGGTCCACAGACACTTTCTCGCCTTCTCCCTGATTCCTCCTGCTCCCTCTCTTTCTCTGCGCTCTGCTCGCCCCTCCTCTCTCCTTGCCTTTCCCCCCTTCTCTCTCTCCTTCTTTCTCTGTGATTCTGAACCATAGACACAGATAGGATCTGTTACAGCATCAGCATCAGCAAGAGCTCAGGTAAGACCCTTTTTTCTTTTTGGTTTGTTTTTTCTTCGCTTTGCAATGAGGGTTCATAAAATTTAAAGCATAAAGCCTGATTGCTTGCTTCCCGTAGTGGACAAATTGATTTCTCCACATTTCTAGTTTCTCCTTGCTGTGTTCGCCGTGATGAATTTGAAGTGGAGGTCTGATCATTTTAAGAGAGACAGTCTGAGCAAAGTTGAGGAACTCAAATGTCATTTTTTAAGTGCTTTTATTGCAAATAAGTTGTGACAATAACAACTTCAGGAATTTTACTTCAGGCAGAGGAGTGTACCTGATAGGTAGGACTGAATATACCCTTAGATAAAAAGGAAAACATGGATATAATGTATTAAACAAAGATGAGCAATGAGGCTGAAAGAATGAGAAATAAAGCCCGCAGCATGGGACAAAACAGAGAAGCAAATGGGCTTTCGCTGGTCAAAGCTGGTGGTACAAAGTGAGTTAAGAGTTAGGGAAGCTCAAGTGTTCACAGATCGGCAGGTGCCCAGCGGACGCAGTTTATCAGGACCTGTCATCCTTCCTGAACAAAGATATTTTTCTCTTTGGTATATTTATAGAGTGATCACATGTGACTTTGTGTACAACAAAGAAAAACACGATAGTAAAGCTGTTAGTGTTCTATGCAAGAACAGTTTTTCTCATCTTCAGAGTCTGTCAGAACATCTGAGGCTATACAGTATGACTGACTTGATTTTTTTTTTTAATGTATTCTTTTAATCTTGGCTTAAGATGGTTACATTGCAAATCTATGCCTACTGAAATGAGCAAGTGAGAGAATCCGTAGGTTTATTCTACAACTGCGTGTTACAAGAGAAGGTTAGGTCATAGTGTTAACCATATAGTAATTGCTGGTCATGGATATAGCATTTGTGAAAACAGTTCCCTCTCAAAGTGTAATCTTTATAAATGCAAATGACTATATAAATTTGCATAAATTACAGAAGCAGACCTTGCTTTTTGCCTCCCTCATTTCGGAGATGTTAGAATGAGTTTAAGACTGCCCCATGAGCAACGCTTAGCCTTTGAAGTTTAAATAAACAATAGGACTGTGCAATTGTACTTCAACAGTGAAGCACATTAGTGTCACTTAAATCATGTCTCATGGTGGGTTTGTCTGCTTTGGAGCACCTTTGCAAGAGAGCCTTTGCTGTAATGATGAATGCTGAAAGGTGGTCTTTGCTGATAAGTAATCTTTCAAGTTCGTCTTTAGCTAATATTTTCTCGAGGACCGATGCCCTATTGGTCGTTTCTGTGGTGTAAGAATATTCATCATACTGATGAATTTAGATGAAATCTGAAAATAGCTCTGAGCAAAGTTGCGTCGGGTCTCATAAGTAATACAGCGGTGTGCTTATATTTCATTCATGACATAGTTTGCAGCGCTCTCTTGGACTGTGGAGAGAAATGAGAGAAATAGCTTTGTGATGTGAAAAGACACTGGTTGTTGAGGTGAGAGAACAACCAGATACACTGCAGTGGAAACACTAACAGCTGGAGCTGAAACTGCACTTTAATTTATGGACACACACAGAAAACGTGCTCATTTTAACCAGACTTGCCATATTCCACAACAGTTCTGAGGCATGTATCCTGTTTGCTTGGCAATGCAACCCACACTGCACACAGCAACGAGGAAAGGCATGGTATGGGCTTTTTTGACATCTGTTAATGATACAAAATCAGTGACAGAACTACAAACCAAGAGATGTAAACGTCTTTTGTGCAGTATGTGCTGTATGTTGGCCATATAGGTTACCAAATGTGTTAATGTTTTCTAGAGCAAAAAGAAGCTGCCTCAGCTTGCCTGACACAGCCTCTTTCATTAACCCAGCATTCAGCTGGAGACCCAGAAAAATATCCGCGTTTTGAGGAAATGAGAGACAGAGAAATGGGGAAGCTGGTGCCTTTTCAGTCCGCTGAGGGTTCTGTGCTGACAGCTACACTCCGTCTTTTTTTCTGGTTGGTTGTGAGCTGCCCCAGGTGTGACAGGCAGCCGGAGTAATGGGGGACATTTGACAGATGCATATTTCCAGCCTTGAAAGCTTCATATAAAGAAGATAGACGGCATGGATTCAGGCTGAGCGTGGGACAAACTGTTGGGCTGTGAATCACCTCAATGAGTGCGCCGCCTCTCTGCTCGATTGATCCGTCACGTGACTCTCACAAGCCTTCCAAGTTACTAATTGTATCCCCACCTGATTATTGATTGAAATATGAGGGTGGTATATTGGACTCAAGGAGGCAGGCAGAATGTTGCGCCCACTTAGACTGGTGGAGGTGGCTGAATTACAGACAGAGGGACCCCACAGATTTCACTGGTTTGATTTCAAAAAAGAAATATTTGGAATGAAAAGTCTGACTTCTGTGTAGGTTGAGTGTGCATGTGTCTGCATGCACATGTGCATGGGGTTGAGGTATCACTTGTGTGCTGGATCCATTTTTGCAGCATCGTGGGAGAATTGTACTAATAATGCTGGCTTTATGCGATAATTAATCTTTTACAAGGCTATAAGGGCACATAACTAGGAGTCAAGGTAGGAGGATTAGATTACAGTTTGTAAAGTAGATGGAAGCGTTTCTTGGCAATCAGACTTCATCTGGCAGTCAGTCAGCCCAGGGAAACGCTAACTGAGCAATGAATTCTCCAATTTAAGGTATATTTGTCTCCAGTGTGCCCCTATGTCATTTAAAGTCCCTGTATAATTTTAATTTACAGATTGGCCCATTTTTACTTGTTAAAGAACACATGTTAGGTGCTTTGAGCTAATATGCTCACAGGGATACTGACATGTTTGGCTATTAAAGTAGATGTCATGTTTGCCATGTTCACCATCTGGGTTTAACATTATAGCATACTAGCGTTTGTGCTCAACTCAAGCACAATGAAGCTTCTTCTTATTACTATTCTGAATGTCTGTACATGGCAATCCATACAATAGTTGCTGTCTGACTGATCACCATATTGAGATGAGCTGAAGGTACATTTCCACTCATGCGTGCGTCTAGAAGATAGATGCAGCCAACATAAAGTCACCCATTGGTTTTAGACTGCACATTTTCACCGCTCAGCACCTTGTTAAGTTTTCAAAGGCAGATGTTGCTATTAGAGATGACACGATACCACTTTTTTATGTCCGATACCAATACCGATATCATAAATTTGGATATCTGCCGATACCGATATGAATCCGATATAGTGTGTTTTTTAATCAATAAAACGTTTTTTTAATATCTTGCTGCATTTTGTATAAGTTTATACTCAAGTTCAAATAAATAACAACACGAAAGCTATTCTGTTATACCTGTATGTAAAAAATACACTGCACCCAAAATATTTCATAGTTCAGCAA